TGGTATATGAAATGCAGAAGTTGCGTCCCTGGGGTAAGAGCTGCGTCGATGAACTTGTGGCTCTCCAACGTAGAGGAACCAAACTCGTCAGAGGATTGTTTCAGCTCCGTTACTGGAGCGGTCTGCAGGCCCCAAGATTGTACTGGGATAAACATGGACGTCAGAAAGCAGACCTCTTCATAGTTTACTTTTACTGACGAATCCGATCCACCCTTTTTTCAATCTGTAGCACCTGAGATAAAATACCAAACCAGGTTAAACTGTTCACGTACTTCAGTCGACTCGATTGGCTGCAAAACGTGTTCTCCCTTCGGACGTGCAGAACCTGGAACGTCCAACTCAGGTTATCCTTGCCCCTATAATAACGGTTTCAGAGAACGCCTTGATGAAACAGTTTCCAATATGCATTACTTGACATAGTCCGTTTCGCTGGCAGAACGAAATAACGGAAACTAAACTGTGTTTAGCATCCATATCCGCAACATGGCGGTGAAGACACCGCAGTGATGGGAGTAACAAAGAGGATTTTACACTTGATATCAAACAAAAAACTGCACTGAAACTGGCGCCCCCTGTCACATGCCGCTCCCGGGAAGGAAGGCTTTACTCCCCCCTCAATGCCACGCATCTCCATCCCAGCAATTGTAAAACATCACACCACCTCCCCTATTACGTTCATCCTCGTGTAAGAAGGATGTTCATGACAGAGCGATCCCGACATAAATGATTTCGTCCTTTAGCAATGTTTAGATTAACATGATCAGATCTACTACACATCGGGGCTTGAAGAGAATGAAGCTCAGATATTTTGCTGGAATGCTCTATGCGTCGATTTACATGCAGCAGAGTACTTCGAAATTCGAATGCATATCTATTGATACGAGTTACGGGTGCGAGCTTAAACAGATACATGCGATGCCGGTAATCAGTTGTTATAGGTTGATGTGGAATAGTTCCCACTGCTTAGAAATAACATATATCGCCGAAGAAAATTTGTACTTGTGAACAAACTATGGGAAACCGCCAGGCCAACTTGGGGGAGAGAAACGGAGGAAAGGAGTAATGCGGGAAATTGGACACAGCAAGAAAACTCGACCCCTTCTAAATTTGTGCTTTGCTTGAGCTCACTGCGGTGGACGACCGAAGAAGAGGAGCCACGACGGCGAGTGGGGAGTGGAGACGTGAAGATGCGTAGTGCGGTTTGCATGGAAGTCACGAATGGGTTGCAGCGTGTACTACGTGTAATTGAATGCATGGCTGTACGCAATTCTCTTCTGTTTAGAGAAGCACAACTCTTCCCCGGGTCATCTTTCCGCTGACACATTCGCCTCCACAAATCGATCTCTTGAGTCCGCACAAGCATCTGTTGGATATTCGCTCCCGTCCCCCTGCGCATTTAACGTACTGGGCTCAGCAACCACTGCACATTGGCTCACCCTGTGTGGTGTAATGTTGACTAAAATGGGGAAATCAACAAGCGCATGAGTGGCGAATCTGAGGCACTGGATTCCCACCCTGAGATGTTACCAACTGGAAGCATGAACTGAATGTACTGGCAAATAAGGCATGAGGTGCTAACTGGTGCGTAGGTGGAATGAATGCATTGAAACTGTTGCAGAAACAAGCCTGTTCAACGTGAGGATTTTTTACGAGATGACCTCGCAACCAGCCAGACTGGCAACTGGACAGGGTATTAGGCAGCATTGTTATGAATGAAGCCTGCACCAAGTAGTTTAATGGCCGGGGAAAATGTCGCAGGGTTAACGTAATAATTTCCCCTGACTTATTAGAATCTATGTGTATTTTTGTAATCTTAACAATGTAGCACATACTTTCCAAATTTTTTACAGCCACCCATACCATGGTGTTGACTCTGTTTATGATCAAAAGAACGGTAATCTCATCACTATCCATTCGAGTAAAAGACAAGTTTGACACTACCCGACACCTTTTATCGTGCATCCTAACAGAGAATAACTATTGGTAATAGAAATATTCACCTTATTAAGCTGTGGTTAGTTTTCTTCGCCACCTACTCTTTGCAAGCCCGAAACCGAAGTAAGACAAAAATCACAGCGATCCCAGACCATCCTGAAGGTACTTCATTCATGCAACCCAGCTACATCGACGTTGTCAACAACTTGTAAAACTGAATAAAACCAATTTGAACATTGCTTATTTGGTACCCCAAGAATAGTTCTAATGGAACCACACACAAAAACATTTCTTTCTCCGCTGCACTTATTAAAGCAACTTCTCTGCAACTTGAACCTTTGAATTCTGTGAGATGAATCGAAGCAGCGAATGGACATGTATATAAGGATGTGGGAAGGATTTTGGTTTGCTATCTAATCTACTAGTTTCTTCTGCACGATAAGCAGTGAGCATAGAGGCACAAGCAGGTCTAGCTCGTTTGGCGGCATGTGATGCGTTGATAATGTTTGATTCTATTTAGCAACAGAAGATACTCTCATTTATGTGCACAACAACCACCAAGAGGTGTACATAATGATAGCAATCCCTTCAGATATCGTCAATCGGGCGAACACGTGCGGAACAAAGAAGTAAAATCTGTTTTGTGCTAAGGAAAAGGGACAATCCTCCATCTTACATAATGAGATGCCTAGAAAAAGTCGCCGTATCCTTTACAAGCCGATAAAGAAGAACCAAATGGAAATCCGTAGGCCACTTGTGGTAGGGAGTAGTGTGAGAAGAATATCTATTCGAACAGCATCTGCTGAGAAAAACCTAGTTGTCGTTTTTATTCTTTCTATTGTCCACCTCTTGACAGTTGTTTAAACGCTCCACTTGAAAAAAGGCACTTGAAAAAGGCATGTCATTAGTAATGAACGTTCACTTTACGTGGCAGCTTCAGCAACATCATTGCTAAGAACATATTTGATTGGCTTTATTCCCATAAATTTCATCGGACATGCTAACGGAATGTTTAGTTGACATTTCTTTTGTATAGTCCCTGCTGCCCAAGTTTGCATTTCTCCCCATCACCTGTCTCATGAGTCTTGTTTAAACACACCAGCTTGTGATTTCGATTAATTAGCACCCGTCGTTGTGAATAGATGTTCACTTTACGGTTTAGATCCCATAATACCGTTTCCAAGGACATATTTGACTTTTGCTTCATTCCACGACTGTCTATACGCTTGCTGTACTTAACATTTTCATTCTGTTTGTTTGGCTCAAATGTATTTTGGTAGATTTTCTTCGAAACCTTTTTAAAACTATATAAACCAGTGTGAATTAATGCTCACATTATTTTCCGGCTCGTCTTTGAAGTTCCGCTTACTGTCATGGAGTGAAGGTGTCGGTGGTGACACAACAAGCAGTATGTTTTGAAATCATTGCATTGACATGGATCAAACTCACTTTGGAATCGAAAGTTCTGGTATATGGTAGGTAATGACACTGTGAAGCAAAAGTATTTTACGATGTGTCCTGGCAGGGTTAAATTGTTGCTTGACATTGGCCATGTGTGATGCATGACCAATGTTAATAAACTCAATTGAATTAGATTTCTTTCATTTCTTCAGAAATGTTACAACCGACCTACCGATCCCCAGAGCTAAGCAAGTGGCTTTGTACTGCTTCGCTTTTTCCACAAGTGCTCAGCACATACTAGTGTCTCCACCAATTACTCTTGGTTTGCATCGTAGTAGTGTGAAGCAAACACCTTCGAAGTGCCGTACAGCGACGGCCAAGAAATTCTGAGGTTTGTTTCTGCTCTCATCACAATTTGAAAGCCATGGGTGTGTTCATTGGAAAAAAACCGGTGTTTTAAGTCTTACCTCATGATGTTGTGTAACATAGAGAACTGTACAGTTTCATCCTTAGAACCACATGCCAGAAAACGCACGAAATAAAAACCGAATAGAATAGCTAGGAAATTATTTCCCAATTTTCATTGTGTTCATCACCGATCACCGTTTCAGGTTCAACAGTTTACGCTCATGCAGTACCAACACAAAATGTTACCTAATAAGTAAGTGATGCTCCCACTTTGCGCAATTTCACCACTGCGATATAAAACATGACAATAGGCAAAGTGATGCTATTATACTAGGTTTTCCTCAATGGATTCGGACAGATTTGTGCGAGCTGCTTGATGAATGCGATGGTAACCGTGAAACTTTTCGCACCGCTCAGCCTGATAGTAATACTCCTTTTCGAGATATCCTGCGGGAATTTTAGGACTTCAACCTCTGTACCTATAGTATTAGTTCCACAATCTCAAACACAAAATATTGGAAGGACTGCAACTGCGAGGCTATTGTAATGGCCGGGATCTGAAAGCTGAATTCGATTTTACCTTGACACGTGTCGGTTTTAGCACTAACTTCAACAAATTGCTGCTACCGGCTTCCTTGGATAGACGGCGTAGTACAGTATCACTTCAGGGTTCCATTCCAAAAACGCCTCATTCATTGTTTTCCTGGGTGTATTTCATTCGCCTTACCGTTCCGTGGCATCAAGTTAACAATTCCTGTGGGCATATTTTTATGAAGTCGCTTGTCTCAGGAGTTAGTGAACCGAAGGTCAAGTGATAGCACTCCTGTGATTTGGATCAACTTAAGTAATCAATTAATTAGTTAATTAATTCATCGGGTAACCAGCCTCGAACTAACTTTCCTGTTCAAACTCCTTGGCAGGAGAAGTGTGTTAAAGCTTACTGGAAGTTCTTGTCATACAAAGTGGATGAACAACTTATAGATGGGTGGAATTTATGTACCTCACAATCAGTTACCTATGTGGGTGTCAGAGGAACAGGAGGAAAAGCTTTGCGGGACCGTTTACACCACGCTTGTCCCGATTCACGTGAGCGTCATCTATAACGCGTCACCAGTACGCGTTGAATCAGTGACAACGAAGCGAAACTGCAGGTTGTACCTAAGCCTTTCAAGCGTCCGTGCATCCCGGTTGAAGGACAAAACGATGCATACTGTGTTCATTTTCAGACGTCGCTGTTTACATGATGACCGCATGGGCACACATAAAACTCGCTGCTGTAGACTCGTATAAATGGGTTCGCATCAGCATACGTACGGCTGTCACGCATGGATTGAACACTATGTGGCTACTTATCGGGATTGTGTGGTTCATCGAACTGGCCACTTGCGTTGCACAAGCGCAAGGCAAAACACCAGATTCAACTGCGTTCTCAAACTACAATGTGGCGTTAAAACATGCATCAAATAACACCTGTCCATATTTGATTCATGGCTCGAAGAAGTTGCCCGTGATATGTTGGGTTTGTCACTTTCCACATGGAATGAGCCAGAGGTAAGTGGAACAACAGTACTTTTTTGCACTTATGCGAACCAGTTAGTCAGGCATTCATTTTGACAAACTACCTAATCAATAATAGTAGTGATTTGTAAGCTGCTGTTCTGTTGCACAACATTGCAACTGCACGCCCCCTGTCATATCCTCTTTCTCGTTGTTAACCAAATAAATGGTTTATTCACAACAATTCCTGGCACGCCTGCAAAGGCATGATCATAGTAAAAAGGCAACTATTAATCGGAAAACACACAAAATTGTCACAAGTTTGTGGTAATGTGATGCAGCTATGTATGTGAGCGTATAGGTGCCTAAGTGTGTTCGTGTGTGACTATTTGTTGGTTTGTATTTACTGATTCACAGTTGTGCTGCTAGAATCGCTACTTGTTGAGTACCGATTATTCAGCACCTGTGTGCAGTTTTGATTTCGTTGCGACCGCGTTAGCTACAGGCTTCCAAGCGCTTGCTGCTTACAATATTCAACATTCGTTCTTGCATTTGACTGAAGAATTGGGTGCAGTGATCCACAATTATCTATGGAGTCCAAGTACTCTTCAAAGCTTCCTCGCTTTAGAGTGCAGTTTAGAAATTCGGTCTTCAAGACCCCGTCAACTATCGTTACCAGTGTCCACGTTAACTCATGCATCTGAAGAAAAACCTCTCCGGAACTTCGGTGTAAAGTGAACAGTCCCAGCAAGTAATTGACTAGCGATTATTGGGATGTCGATACTTCACGTTCCACATGCCAGTCATGAGAGTGTGTATAGCTATGTATCCCGTTGTTCGTCCGTCGTACTGAACTTAGGTGCGCTTATGAAATACAACTACTAGCGAGGCTATTGGCGGAAACACAAAGGCGCCTGCTATAACTCGAATTAGAAATGACCAACCTTCTGGGTAGACTTAGAAGTTGCTAAGCTTAACTGTGGTGGTATGGTAGTGCTTTAGTATACTTTATCGGAAAGAAATCAGCGCACAGTAGCACTTGATTTGGAGCGCCGAATGGCTGCATCCGAGATGCATACTGGCAGATCGTTATCAAATAGCTTACGCCCCAGCTGAGTACATAGCTACATCTACCAAGGTTTGAGTAGTTGAATGATAATCCTCATACTTCCTGGAAATTTACTAAGTAGTGTAAACACTTTGCCGAAAGCCGAATGTTTGACAGTGGCCAGCGGGACTTACTTGATGTATTATTGTTGTGGTCGTGCCAAAGAGGTCAGCACTGAATGTATGACATTGCCACGTGCCAGTGGTTATGGTAGAGCAACCGACGTTGTTTGGGAAACGTTATGTACTTCTGACAGGAGCCGATCGGACCCATCCAGTCTTGAGCGGCGGTGGCACGAAGTGATTGCAGTTAACAGCTCGTCGTATTCGCAATCTGTGCGGCGCCCACCAGTTGCAAGCCGGACTTCAGATATAAGAGACAGTATCTAGGCTACGCTCTAGCGCTAAGTCATTACTGGTTTGCTATAACTGTTATTTGTGTACTATCAGTCTCCATCTATAGTGGATGTCCACGCTTCTGACTTAATGTAAGGCTGCCATTTAGGTCCAAGGCTAAAACTAAATAACCACTGACAGTTTGTAATGGTTAATTACCCTCTTAGGTTCTATTAAGCATAAGTTGACAAATATGGTTGTTAGTCGGACCACCAGTACAAACGCATGCAAGTTCGTAAGAGGAGTTTTGCCGCCGGGGCGGTGGCAAAATTTTCTCCCTCATTGAGAGCACAATAGATGCGTGAAGACCACACAATCGGCTCAGGGTAAAGCGTACATCATTTTTCGATGAGATAAATGACTGTGAGACATTGAGGTAAATTTGAAGAAAGTGAAAACAATTGGACAAGTAAGAGGATTGCTGGGAAGAACGTTGGCACAGGTGTGATGCATGGCGCAAATGTGTCATTGGTCATACGGAGTAACATTAAAATATTCCACCCTCAGCTTATCCGGATCTTTTGCCCTATATTTTTGATTTCGAATTTTCAACAGTACCAAAAATGACGCCCCCTGCCCCACTATGCTACACCCATGCTACAACTTGAGGGTTAATATTTCTCCATTCATTTTATGGTCGTTCGTACTTAAGTGTGAATAAGTGCACGTGCATATGTTGGATTTGAACTACTATTGAGCAGTTACGAAGATCGAGGCTGTTGATGCATGGGATGTGCTCTGTCGTCTCAGTCAGGCTAAACTCCATTGACTGTTTGTCCATATGTTGGACGTGCGCTTGACACATGTAACCATCATTACGATATGTAACGCCTGGTTGCGCTTGATGTGAAAGTTGACAGGAAGCCTACCTCTCTATGATCCACCACTTTGTCTATAATGACTCCAGGCAAATGTGAATCGTCGCTGGAGGGGACGGGGTGCACGGTCCTTGTGGCCACGCTAGACTTAAGGAGTGATTCCATCCAATGTGGAACGGGATACAGCCCAGCCACTGACCTGTTTACGTCTGGCACGCATGATTTCCAGTTTAGTCAGAAATGCTTCCGCTCTGTTTATTGTAGGAGTGTGGGCTGGTTCCGTTGGTGAAACGTGTCACACACCCACATACATCATCATCATTATACACGTTAGCTAGAGGTGTAAAACACCTCAGCTACTGTGCCGCCGTAAATAAATAAAATTAAAAAATGCAACAGTTGCACACCAGCTGAGCTACCAGCGACGGGTAGGAATCGTTTTGGAAAGTTACCAGCCGGCTACTAGGCAACAAACAATTATTATGTAAAATTAGATTATGCTACGAAATGAGATCGTGGATGGAGCGAGAGGATAAGAGGGATGGGGAGGGACAAAGAAACTCTCAGCAGGAACGCCACTGAGGTCGGCTCCTAGCCATGTCAACAAGTGTATCCAACCAGACGTGTTCATTGTGTTTTGGACCTTAACCAGGGAGCCGTGACGCACTAACCGAGGCTAGCGCCGAAGTGAGGGCCCTCATTCCTCTTTGCCTGCCCTCCTCCACTTCCAACCGCACCCCCGGTGAGCAAACAATGCACGTCGCGGTAGCCGGTGGGCCCGCATGTGTAACACGTGGCCGAGCCATCGGAGCCTGGTGCGTGAAATGATGGTGCTGAGCGGTTCATTTCCTTTTCCTGTGCCGTAAACAATGCGTCGAACACGCTCGTTCCTTACTCGGCATTCCCACCAGATGTGAGCTAAATTGCGATAGCCTCGGTGGTCGAAAGTAACTAGCTTCTCTATGTCGGCTGATCTAAGGGGCTAGGTTTCGCAACCGTACAGTAGGGTCGAGCGTACCGCTGCACTGTACACACTACCCTTCAGGGCGAGAGTGATGTCTCTCCGGCGCCATAGGTGGCGAAGGTTGGCAAAAGCGCCTCAAGCTTCTGCTATACGGTTGGTGATCTCATCTTCAATCCTACGGGCGCTGATACAACTTCTCAGGTGGTTAAATTTTTGAAAGACTTCTAGCTGATCCCTACCAAGGTTCAGTGAAAGACGGGGTCCCGGCCAATCTTGGAGGAACGCTTTGCATTTGAAGGGTGCAAACCAAAGCCCGAAACGGCTGACAGCCAGTGCTAATCTGTCCAGTGCAGCTTGGCACGTCTGGGAGCGGTCACGAATGAGGGAGTAGCTCACACCATCTAAGTCGTGTGCTGTGAATGCAATCTTCAAGATGTCGTCAATAGCGAAGTTGAAGAGGAAAAGTGACAGTGGGTATCCTGGTCTCACACCGTTGGAGATGCTGAAGAGCGGCGACAGGTTGCCGTAAGCCCTCACTTACTCGTGCTACGCACGTATGGTGCGCGGATAATATTTACATATTTCTCACGCACACCTTTCATTAGCCGGCAGACCAAAGAAACACATCGATCAATCGAATCAAAGGGAACTTTGATCTCGCGAAACAAGACAACGGTGGGCCGGCAATAAGTGTGATGATGCTCCAACATTTGACCTAAAGTGAAGCTGTGGTCGATCCATCTCCGACCACGACGAAACCCAGCTTGCACCTCACGAATCTGCCTTTCACGAGCGTCAGTCAGTCTGTGAAAGATTACAGGGCAAGTAAGCTGGAGGCCATGGGGATCAAACTGATCCCTCTATGGTTGTTACATTCCGAACGCAAGCCTCCTTCGAAGATCGGGACCATAACGGAGCGGCTCCAGTCGGTCGGGACAGTTTCCTGCTTCCACAGTTTCATCACTAACTCGTGGAAATATTTAACAAGAGCAGGGCCCCCAATTGGAAGTGGGCTGGATGCTGATCAACTGGTCCCGCGGCTTCGTTCAACTTCAACTTCAACGTGTGACTTCTGAGCGAGGGGGCGGGTCTTAGCCGACAGACCAGAGAGCAGCGCGATCACTGCCCGGTGATGAATCTGACAATTCCGGCAGATTACATTGCTTTTAAACATCTTATTCTAACGCTCTAAACGTTTTGAAAAGTTATAGATAGACTGTCCACTCTCGTCATAAATCGTTTCACTAACACCAGCTCTCCTGCTTCCCGGTTCTCGTATCAGACAGAGTGGCTTCCGACGGTTACCAAGGGCAGCCGCCATTTCCATCTCTGATGCACTAAGAGACCACCAAGATTCGCGGTCTCTCTTCAGGCTAGAATGGAGCTTTCTCCTGTGGTTTCTGTGTGTCTCATTGTGCTCGCTTCAAACTGGAATGTGCCGGCGAGCATCATTAAGTTCCAGAGACCGCGAAAAGACCAATTGCCCTGTTGGCTATTAGACTTAACACATGAGGACTTGCCTGCTGTTAGTAAGGTCTGGTGAACATGCGACCAGTAACCTTCTATTGCATCCAGTCAGCGTTTAATCAACCCGCATGTCAGCTTACTTCGATACGCATTCAGAACAGCTGCCTTCGCCAGTTGGTTGGTGTCAATGCGCTCACAGTGTCATCGAGGGCGTCCGCCAAAACGCATCAGCATGTCAGCACATACAAGTGCATGGTCGGTATCCACACATGCGCTCCAAATCGAGTGACAGTTCTGGACGC